CCCCCAGCCAGGCTGGGAAATGGGCCAAATGGAGCTGGAATTCATCATCAGATGGCCGCCCAGCCTCTCTTAACCCTGCTCAGTCCATGCTGGGGGCGCCCGGCCTGCCTAGGCTGTTACCGGGCACCTCCCACCTGACCATTTGTTCCCTTCCTGCAGGACTGGAGCCTCTACACTGACCCCAAGGAGCTGTTTGAGGTGCTGAGCTGGCTAGAAGGATGGTAGGTTTGGGGGCACCAGGGTGGGGGGGTGTTCATGGCAGGGGTCTGGCTCCGAGGCAGATATGGCACCTCTGTCCTGCCGTGCCCGGATCCACTGGGGTACGTGTCGGCCAGCCCCTGCCCTGGGCTCCTCGGTCCCCCCGGCTGCATTCTGCAAACCCCTCCCACCGGCCGGAGCCGTCCCAGGAGCAGGCTGTCGGCTTGCCCAGGGAGTTCTAGGCTGGACTGGGGCGAGGCCCGCGCTAGTCGCAGCTTGTCCGAGCTGGCCTCGATCACCCGGCAGCGGAATCCCTTTGGTGTGGGGGGGTCTGCACCCTCTTCCCCCGGTGGGGCTTTGAGGGGAGTCAACATGCCAGGCCCCAGGGCAGAGAGGGGGAAGGCAGCTCCTCCTTGGCCTGGACTCGCCCCGAGCAGAGCCGCACATGGCCCCGGTGCACTTTGGCCGCCAGGGACCTGGGGCTCATGAGTGGCACCCGTAACCTGCGGGCAGAGGCGCAGAGACTCTGCCAGGAGCCGCGATGCAGGCGGCCGCCCATTCCCCGATGGCAGCTGCAGGCAGAGCCAGGCGGGAGAGGGTCTGTGCCCAGAGCACACATCTAACTGCCTTCCTTCCCCTCAGCGTGGCCAAGAGACAGGGCACCCAGCGTGGCTGGTTCACCTACACGGACCTGTGCGTCCTGCTGGAGCAGTCCCTCTGGCAGCATGCCCTGGGCCAGTTCTACCAGCAGGTGGCGAAGGTAAGAGCCGGCCAAGCCCCGAGGGCAGAGGAAGCGTTCCCCTGAGGGGGCACCACGGGAGGGGGAGAACCAGGAGGCAGGGCCGTCCCTAGGCATACCAGAATACGCAGCTGCCTAGGGCACCGTGAATTTGGGGGCACCAAATTGCCCCAAATTTCATGGTGCCCTAGGCAGCTGCGTGCTGCATACGCGACAGCACCAGCTCCAGTGACCAGCCCTGTCCCCTGGGGGGCTCCCCGTGGGCTGCGCCCATTGCAAGGGGCAGGGCTGTACCTAGGGGGTGTGGGGCCATGGACAACTCCCTCCGCCCCATCTCTTACCCTTTGCCCCTGCTCTGCCCCTGGGCCGCCCCATTCCACCTCTTCTCCCAGCGACCCCGCGCTCACCGGCAGTGGTGGGAAGCGAAGCACCCGGGCCCCAGCCTGCTCCACTCCGCCAGCTCCCAGCCGCGGCGCTCCGCTTCCCACCGCCGGTGAGTGCGGGGAAAGATCACCCCCTGCACTCACCAGCGGCAGGAAGGGGAGAGACGCGGCCCCAGCCCCAGCCGCGTCGCTCAGGGGGGTGGGGGTTGGGGAAAGATCGCCCCCCGCACTCACCAGCGGCAGGAAGCGGAGCACCGTGGTTGGGAGCTGGCGGAGTAGAACGGGCTGGGGCCGGGCTGCTGCGCTTCCTGCCATTGCCAGTAAGTGCGGGGGGGCCCTTTTCCCCAAGCCCCCTCCCCTGAGCGACACGGCTGGGGCCGGGGCGAGGGAAATGGAGCGCGCTGCTCCCAGCCCCCTGCTAATCCACCAGGCCACTCTGGGCCTGTGGGGCCCCCCAAAGTGGCCCCCCACAGCTCCTGCCTCCCGGG